CATCAATGAGTTCTTCAAACACAAATTCTCAGACTCATCCATAATCTGCTTCTTCATTTTCACACCAGAACTTAACCTTCACCAGCTAAAAGCACTTGGAACTAAATATACTCAACACAAAGATCGAACAAGAGCTACTGAATCTGCAGATTCTGAATCTAACCTTCAAACTAAAGAGATACACCTAAGATTCTTCTTTAGAGTGTCTACCAAAATAATTATGAACGTCTACGCTACCCTTCCCAATTATCTTGTACGTTAAGACAAACTAGAAACTCAACTGTACAAGAAAAGACAAGTAGATGTAACTTCTAATCTTCATTCAATAATAAAATAAACAATTAGCTAAATGAGTAAAGGATAATGCAAAATATATATGGTCGGAAACAGCTAATGTACATCTCTCAATCACATCCGTTGAATCACATAAATGGCAGTCACAATCATAAGACGGCCTCCATTAAACTACTACTATTGCTTCACTTTCTCTTTAAGCAGAGAAAACCATAAAAAAATCAAAACTTTAGACAAACTGATGGTTATTGAAGATTCATTCACAATCGAGTAACCATGTGATACACATCAAACACAAATATGATCAAAATCAAACCAAAGCACATACTTAATTATATATACATGTGTATATCAATCTTAATGTAAAGCTTAAACCTCTGGTTCTAGGTCTGTGACGAGACTCGAATCGTCTTGGTTTTTAATCGATAACGAGATGCACGAGGGACGACTTGACTCGGACCGAACCCGTACTGACCGATACCGCCGGTGAGAGGAGGACCATCGTCGTAGATGTAGCCGAGGAGATGGCCGCAACTATTGCACTTGATTTTGGTTCGTTTCCGTTGGATTCCCCAGTAATTTAGGGTTTCGAAGAACGGCATGATTTTGTCTTCCTTTTCGAATCGGAATTTGTCGGCGTCGACGGCGGCGAAGGAGATCGTTCCTTTGTTACCGGCTTCGAAGTAGAAATTTGGAGGAAACAAATCGTTAGGGTTTAGATTCAGATCTGATTCGCATTCCTTGCAACTGTAGATCGGTAAAGCCATTGCTCTCGAAAATTGTGAT